GTGTAGCATCCTTTGAGAAGAGAAGGAAGGGTGCGTTCAAAAGTCTTAGGAAGTACCAACAGTTAACAAGAAGGGTGAAGAGGCTTCAGGGCCGGACTCAGCCTGTGGACTCAGCACTGCTGGTAAACACAGCCTCAGCCTTACCTCCCCTTGGCTGCCAAGCTTCCCGGGGAGGGAATGGGCCCCCTGTGCCCTGGAGATGAAGAGGGTGTGGTCAGCCATGGTGTGAGTCTGAATCACTCCCTTCTCTTCACTTGGCCCCTGGCCAGCCTCCTCCCCAGACCTGTGTGATGTCAGACCCAGGGCTGACCTGAAGGTACAGGGTTGTTTGGTGCAGTTCCCTCTGGGATGAGGTCCAGAGGGGAACCAGCCTGGCCTTGGTCCAAAAGCTTGGGCCCTGCACACAGAGGGGTGAGTTGAGGCTGACTGGACTTGGTGGGGTTGACATGTGGAGACAAGATAATCCTCTGGCTGGGGGAGGAGCTGTAAGCCCCTCTCTCCTCCCCAGTATGTTATTTTTCCTCCAGGGCTTGGAGAAGAGGGAGGCAGAGGTGGGAGAGGGCCAGCTTGGCTATAGGGTTGGCATATATCCCCGAGAATACGGTAGATTGTTTTGGAAAAATCCTCTTGGCCGGAAATTGCATGTCATGTCTGCTCCTAAGTGTGGATTTGTCACTTCACTGATGCTGTTAGAGAGGCTGGGGAGAGGGGAGTGGACAGCAGAGGCAGGTTGGTCCCCAGCACTCCTGGTTCCCTTTAGCTATGTGGTGTGGAGAGAGAAAGGGGCAAGTGAAGACCAGAGGGATGTACTTCTGGGGTGGAGTCCCCAAATCCTAGAGGTAGTTTGGATCCTGTGGGTGTCTTATAACAGGGTGGTATTGGGAGACGGGGGATTTATGGGGCGGGGAGGGGGAAAGAGGGCAGGGAGAAAGCACAAAGGAGGAATGGTTTGGATCAGACCTTTCATCCAACCAGAGCAAGAAGGGATGGGCCTGGCATTTTCAGCCTTGCTTTCTCCATAGCCTCCTGACTTTGGGTTCTTGCAGCTGCTTCCAAGACTAGTCTCTGCCATAGCTGCAGTAAGATGTTGAGGAACTTCTCCTTACAATAGAACTAGGTGTCCATGACCCCCTGTCTGGCAGGGTCCCCCCCCCCCCCATGCTTCAAGGTGGGGAAGTGGCTGTGTGGGGAGAGTGAGCCTTATGGGAACCCACCCAGTGCCCTACTGTGGTCTCTTTCCTCAGCCTTGAAGCTGAGTGGGGAGTGGGTATCTCAGCATCTCTCCCTTCTCTGTCCCAACCCAGGGAGGGGTGAGAGTGCCCTGAGCTCAGCGCTAAATACCTGGTACTAAGGAGTCAGTGGATGCTTCAGATGCCATCAGAATGAGAGGGTGTGCGTGTGGCGCCTGGGGGCTGGAGGGAGAGGAGGAGCCTCTGCAGTGTGACTTCCTGTGCTGGGGTGGCCTTGCTGCAGTGCTGGGTGAAGCACCCCTGCGTGGGCGCTGTTGGAGCGGCTCCTCCAGTGGGAGCCTGGGCGGCTCGGGTCACTCCTCTGAAGTCAGAGAGGTCAGCCCCAGTATCCTGGCCTCGGCTGCTCTCCCAGGCGCGTAGCTCCTGCTGTCTTGGGCAGTAGGGAAGAGAGATGGCAGGGCCAGTGCGGCTGCGGTGAGGCTCAGGGCTGGGGCTGCTGGGAGTTCCCTCCGCGTGCAGGGAGGCGTGGCTTCCCGGGCTGGATGGGGAGTGGGCTGGGGAGGCGCCAGGCGAGCACAGCCGAGTCCTGAGTGGAGCGAGTGCTAGAGTGAGCGCCTTGCATTCCAGGAGCAGAGTGGAAGCTGGGCCAGGTGGACGGATGGGCTTCAGGCCCTTGAGGGGTCTCAGGTCGAGTTGGGGTGGAGGCTTCTCTTCTGTGGGCTTCTTAGATGGACCCCCTTATCCTGGAATATAGAGGGGCTCTTGAATCCCCCAGGAACTGATTGATGGCTCTGGAGCTCTGGGCTACTGGAGGCGGCTGAGGGCTGAGTGGAGCTGTGGTTCTGTGGTCAGCGAAGGTGGAGCCCCCTGCTCTCACCGCGGATCTACCCGCAGTCGGGGAGACAGGGTGGGAGCCACACCACCGAGAGACGGGATGGAGGCTGGTGATGGGGTTGAGGGGGGCGGCCGCAGGCCTGGCAGGAGGAGAGGCCGTGACCACTGGGCTGGGTGGCAGACGTGAAGCTGCGGGGTGCGGGGGGACATGGACTGGGCCCTCCCCTGGAGCAGAGGCGCATTGGCAGCTCCTGCCCTCCTTTTGGAGGATGCTCGAGGGCCGGCCCCTCAGGATGCAGGGCAGTGACGCTGCCGCTGCCGGTGCCGCTGAGGGGCGGGGGCTGTGAGCGGATGCCTCCCCGATTGTCACGCAGTAACTGCAGTAACGCCAGGAGGCTGGGCTCCATGGGGGAGAGATCTGCTTAACAGAGCCTGGCTGGGGGATTGGAAGGACAGCAGGTAATGGGGAAAGGCTATGGGATAGCAGGTACCTGGGACCCAGGCCCCATCATCTGCGGGTGAGCTCAGGGCCCAGCCATGCCCTGTGTAGCTGCCACTCAGGAGTGAGGGGTGTCTGTGCACCTGCGCTGGGGACAGATCCTGGGGGCTTAGGAGGCTGGTAAAAAGTGGTCAGGGGTGGGGGGGCAGTCAGAGGGATCGGTGAATTAGTGATGCTAGCATCTGCCTCAGTGTGCATGGGTCTCCTGGGACCCAAATAAACTGCCCTTTGGGCTTTCTTCATTGCCCCATGGGGGCCCAGGAAGCACTGTTGGGATTTGAGTTCAGTCTTTTATGGGAACTGAGTCTCTGTGCTCTGTACATTCTCATTTACTGGTCTCTTGAATGTGCATATCAAACCAAATGTCCCTGTTTGCTTTGGAAAATATGGTCACCCTATTTATGGGGCTTCCCTTTCCCTTGGAGATAGAGCAGTTCTTCTCCTGGCCGGCAGAGTGCAGTAGCTGACAGGACAAAGGACACTGAGGACACTGTAGGGAGAGTTGGGGCAGAAAGGTTGGGGCTGTTTTCCAGGGCTGTGAGAAAGGAGTCCAATATACTTTGCTTCTCCTCACAGTCTCACATAGCTGGATTGCTGGGCAAGCTACTAGGGCGTGTTCTTAGTGGACATCCGAAGGAAGGGGCAGGCATGGGGTTCTGGTGGATTTGGGGCACATCTTTCTGGGGATTGCTACGGTTTTTAATCTGGCCATTCTTTTTTTTTTACTGACCGGCAACGGGATCGCAACCCTCGGTGTTGCGCCCGCACCACGCTCAGCCAGTGAGCAGGAACCGGTCTCCACATGGGATCCGAACCCTCGGCGGGAGCGCCACCGCGCTCCCAAGTGGCGCACTTTCCAGTGCGCCACTGGGCCGGCCCTAATCTGGCCATTCTAATCCAGTAGACACATCTTGCTACTGGAGAGAGTAACCCTGCTTAAATTGTCCCTTGACCCCAGGGCCCTGGGTCTCTTTCAGGGTGGTGCCTGGTGGAGAGTAGGCTGTAGGCTTCTCTGTTCTGAGGGCGTGTTCTGCCACGGGTTGGGGAAAAGTCAGCTCCAGTGTAACTTTTGCCTGACCTCGTGTTGTCTATTAGCTCTGACCTCAACCCTCTGACTGGTTATTTTCTTGGACTGAAGGAAGGCTATACCTGGATGTCTCCACAAGCTTTGGGAGGTGGATGATGGGGGAAGGAGGAGAGGGACTGAATTCTGGGGTCTCCCCCAGAGTCAGACCAGGAAATGGCTGTCCCTTCAGGCACCCCCAGCCACATCAAGCACTAAGAGAGGCCTTCGAAAGAGACCCTGGGCTGCTGACTCCCAAAAACTTTCTCACCCCAGCTGCCTATCCCGCCAGCCAGCTGGGGCTCTCTGAGCTGGTGGCCAGCTGGACAGGGACAAGAGAGCAGTGTGAAAGAAACAGGGGCTCCCTAGGCATGGCTGGTGAGGGGGTCCTGGGGGAGCCAGAGAGGACTTCCTGCAGCTGTCAGGTGTGTCTGGGGGCCGTAGTGGGGGGGGGGGGGTTAGAGCAGCTGGCGCCCTTCGAGGAGGGGCGGAGAGATCATTTGTCAGCTCTAGGAACGTGGGGGGCCTGTGGGGCCTTGATGGAGTGTCTCCAGTCCCCTTAAGCTGAGGCTGTTGTCTGTGTGTGGGGGCTATACAAGAGACATCCTACAGCATAGGGTCCTACAGCTTTGGGGTAGGGGCATTCCAGCAGAAGTCTTAGGGCATATTTGTTTGATTTGAGGGGGGTTGGGGCCTTGGTTAACTAGTCTGGGGAGGAGGCACCCTGTGTTTTGAGGGCAGCAGACAAGGGAACCCCAGGGGAGGGAGTGGAGATCTTCAACCCCCCACCCCACCCTTGCTCTTGGCTGGACTGCCCCACTCTGGCAGGCTGCCGGCCTCCTATTTCCGTCGGGCACCAGGGTAACAAGGCCACATTAGGGTCTGAGCCAGGAGACACCCAGCCAAGGCTGGGGATGGGGGAGGGTCTTGGGCCTGCCTACAGGGTCCAGAAAAGACTCTGAGGCCCAGCCCCCAATTCAGGCTGTGTTCTATCCCCCATGGCACCAGACAAGCCCGTATGGGGGCTTGCAGCCCCTCTTTGTACATGCTGTTTGATTCACATAGCCCCCACCCTAAAATCCCAGGAGTTGCCTGCAACTGTGAGGGCTGGGGTAGAAGCCAGAGACAGGGTGCCTTGTGTACCAGGAGGCAGGGGGGCCAGCGCGGGTGGCTGGGAGGAAGAGTCCCCCCTATTCCTGCCGTCCTCTTGGCAGTGATTCAGAAAGGTCCTTTTTCAGCCAGTGTCAGAGCTGCTTAGCTGGGGAGGGAGGGAGGCGAGAGGGAGGGCGGGCAGTCGGGTGGGGGAGCCAGGGAGTAGGGCTGGAGCTGTGACCACTGCACTGGAGAGAAGAGAGAGAAACAGGACAGAGGACCCAGGCTGCAGCCATCCCAGAGAGGAGCTAATCTGCTCCTTGCCAGACAAGCCAGCTGTGGAAACCCAGTTGGGCTTGGAGCAGAGGAAAGGGGCCCACCCCATTCTTCTGCCCCATTTCCCTGGTGTGGCATTTGGGGGACTCCTGGAAGAGACCCCTGGCCAACTTCCCTTCTGGGCAGACTGAGAAACTGAGGAGCTGAGTCCCCTGCTTGCCCACTTCACGGGCCAAAGCCTCAGTGACCTGCTCAGGACTCTAGCTCCGTGAAGATGCCGGCAGCTCGTCGGTTCCCTGGCCTAGAGCTCTCCTTCCCTCTCCTGGCCAGACTGCGGCGACGTCTGTACACAGTGAGTGGGGGGGCAGGGGTGGACTGGCTGGGGACTGGGTCAGCTCCTCAGCACCAGCACTTTAATGAGGTGCAGAGAACAGGACAGAATGGCTGAGGGGCACCTCTAGTGAGGGCTTGACTGGGGGCCTGGGCCAAGTGGCCTCTCCCCTCCAGCTGCCACATTGGTTCTTGTTGGCATGTGTGTTAGAAGAATGTAGGCAGGAGCCAGGTGAAGTGTGTGCTTGCATGCCAGCCACGGAGCTGCACGTGTCAGACAGGTGTGCAGATTCCACACTGTGTTGGGGGTTAGGCACATGCAGAATTGGATACGGTCTGAGCTGGGGGAGAGCTGTGGCAATGCTCTGTGCTCCACAAACAAAGAAACTTGGGCTGGAGAGGGAGTCAGGGGAGGGGAGGTGACCTGTCCAGGGTCACCCTGGGCTCAGCTGTAGAGCAGGACTAGTACCCTGACTCTTTTCTCCTCACTGAGATCCCATTGTTCTTCCTGGTCTTCCCACACACACCCCTGCCACAGAGCAGCCCCATGCCTGGGGTTGGGGAGCAGGGAGGGGAGTGTCCAGCTGAGCAGAGAGGTTTGCTAGCTGGTGTTTCAGGGAAAGAGAACAGGCTGGGCTGTGCTTTCTAAGTAGCTTCAGGGGAAGGGCTTGTGAGTCTCCCCCAGCCCTGACCACCCAGGGCATGGCTTTGAGCTGTTTTCAGGAGCCTGGAGGAGGGTGGGAATGGAGACCCTGGAGCCCTGGGACTTGGGTGGGTGGGGATGGGGAAGAAGAGGAGAGGCCTACAGAGTGCTTTCCCTGGTGGGGGCTAGGGAACCTCATCTCGAGGCTGAGCCATGTAGGGAATGGGGTCATTATGCTTCAGGGCTGTGATGGTGGAAATGCTGGCTGGCTCTGCCTGGCCAGGCTGCTGGGAGAAACTGCCTAGGCCAGTGATTTCGCAGTACACCTTTGGGCTTTCTTCTGTAAAGTAATGGTACCCTGTCCTCTTAAAACCCACAGCCACTTTTGTAAGCAGATGATTTTATTAAGGATAAAAGAGTGAATACACCTAAATGCTTAGAACTGTGCATGCTGTATAGTAAGTGTAGTTGAAGTGTTAGATGGGGTTTTTTTTGTTACTCTTCTTAAAAGTAATAGAAATGTAATCTGTTAACTGTGTGTGTTTTTGCATGTATATACGTATGTAGAGTCAGACAATCAACATAATGTAATATAAAGGAGAAATAAAAGGAAAGCAACCTGTAACATTTTATGCATTCTCATATGTTAGTACACTAGATGACATAATGAAGTAATCAGATGCTAAGACCTAGGTAGAACCACCGTGAAGGCAACATTCTCCAGTGCTGACTAGGAGCAAAGTTTTGAAATAATAAGGCTGGGTTGCCTTCATTAACATTTTTCCAAATAGTGGACTTTTGCTATGTTCTGAATAAAGCAAAGTCCAGTTTTTCCTTAGTTTGCATGGTAATTCCATTCCAGGAAAATTCAGTGTACATTAAAACTACAACGTAACCACCCACTACATGTCACTGTGCCCCCCCCCCCCCAGCATTGTGAGAACCAAAAATGTCCCCTAGGGGGCTGTGCTGCTCTCACAAGAACCATCCAAATAAAGGGTTACAGCTTAACATTTGGAAACCACCCGGCTGGCCCAGCTGCCTGGCCCAATCCTTGGGGGACAAGCCAGGGTTTGAACTGAGGGTTTCTCATTCCCATTTGTCACTCTTTGTACTGTGCTGAGCTGCCTGGGAAAGTCTGAACTTCTGGCACTGTGTTGGCAGGACCACTAGGAACTGGGGGGGGCAGAAGCTCACTCTGGGCCTGGGCTCGTGGTGCCTGCTTCTCTCAGTGCATCCGACTGTGATGAGAGCTGGGTTGAGGCCACCTCTAAGTTGGGGAGTGGGTATCGCTTGGCCCCTAACCCGGCAGCTGGCCTTTTCCCTTTTGCTTGTCTTCCTCACTGGGATTCAGCATGGGTCAGGGGCTGGCCTGGCCAAGCCCTCAGCTCTGAGATGTCTTACTTGGACAGGGATGGGTTTGGTGTCCAGGGGGTCAAGCTGCTTAGCTTTGAAGGTGCTACCAGCCTCTTCCTCTGGGCCCAAGAGAGTGAAGGTCAGAGGTCACTCCCTCTGGTACCCATTGGCTGATTGTGGCCTGCAGATATGTTTTGTTTGGCTAGCACTGTGTGTGTGTGTTTGTATTTCAGAGTTGAACTAGTTGACATCATTAAAAAGTGAGGAGAAAGATGTAATGTCAAGTAAAAACAAGGAACAGAATAGTATGGGTAATGTGTGAATATTCGTGTGTGGGAAAAACAAAATCTGAAAGGGTGTGTGAAAGACATAGACAGCTGCTTTGGGGATGGGGAGCTAGGTGGCTGTGCAGTAGGGGAGGGAGTAAGACTTTATGGCTCCTGTGTACATTTGAATATTTTTACCATGCGCATATATTACCTTTTCCAAAAAATTTAATTGTGAGATTTTACATATAAATTAAGATTCTTGATATTTCTTGGAAAAAATTGAAAGCTTTGGCCATACTTAGTGACAGTCCCTTGTAACAACCACTGATGGGAGCTGAGCTCCCCATTGACTGGATGTCCACCCCTCCCTTTGTCTTATACTTGCTATGGCCCTGGCATATGGGTGGTGGTCTTTGGATTGATGGGAGAGGCTCCAGTGATGTCAGGCATTGGGAGGAACTCAGCTTAAAACTCATCTGGTCCTGAGATCTTTCTGTGGGGTCCATTAGATCTGAGGAATACATGGATAGGTCTTAGGAGACACCATACCCCCCCAAAATTTTATTAAAACTTTGGGAGTAAGAACTTGTGTATTTTTGTTGAGAGACAATTGATGGTTTTTATCAGATTTTCAAAGGGCTTGTGACCCCTGGAGACTTTTTGAGCAGGTGAGGAACCTGAGCACAGAGAGGTTGATCTCAGGTCACTCAGCCATAGATCACAGATTTTGGGAGTAAGACCCTGACTCCTGACTCCAGGACCAGGGCTGTATCCCACCTACCTTAATCATACCTTTGTGGCTGGCAAGAATGGGGGAAAGTGGGTACAGGCTCTTCTGTACAGGTACAGAGGCAGGAGTTGGTTTGAGTCCTTCTGGGCAACAGTATTGTAGGATGTGGATGAGCCCAGGACACTCAGGCAGGGCCCCCTGTTAGGTTCCTGCATCTCTTGGTCCCTGAGCCATTCTTTCCCTCCGCACAGAGGCTGGGGAGCAGCAGCATGCAGCCAGAGGAGGGTACAGGCTGGCTGCTGGAGCTGCTGTCCGAGGTGCAGCTACAACAGTACTTTCTGAGGCTCCGTGATGACCTCAACATTACCCGCCTGTCCCACTTTGAGTATGTCAAGAATGAGGACCTGGAGAAGATTGGCATGGGCCGGCCTGGTAGGTGGAACATAGGCCTTCCTTGTCTTTTCCTCTCAGACTATTTACATTTTCTATCTTCAGGACCCTGGAGCACATGGAAGAACCCTTCCCCCTTTATTCCATGGGGTGGCAGCTGAGAACTCTGCCTGTCCGAGAGCCCCCGAGGTGGGGTGGGAGGGGCATCAGTAGGTGCTGCACACAGGAATGCACTGAGAACAATTTGCAGTTGTAAAGGTGAATCAGAGTTTGGGGATAATGAAATTTTAGAGTTCTGCCTGCTCAGGATTAACTACATACCCCTTTTTCTTCGATAAGACATTTGTAGGACATATTTCCTCCATCTTCCCCTCTTTTATAAGCATAGAATTGAGTCTGTTCTATTCACCGTTCTGAGTACCAGGTGGTTCAGTGTCCACCTGAGGGAGATCTGTAGGGAGAAGAGAAGATAAAGCCCTCAGATGGTTTGCTCACTTTCTCTTTGTCCTTCTGTCTCTCTCTCACAAAGATGTGCTCTAAGTTGAACCTATTTCTTACCTTTGTATTTATCCTAAACATAGTGATTGTAGCATCTAGAATCACGGTGTTTGTAGAACATTAGAAACTTATCAGTGCCTTCAACTTAAAATAGCTAAATAGATAAGAATGTGCTAAATTAGAGACTGATGTATACTACTTTTGGCCCAGATAATTGGTGTCTGATGCCAGTAGCATAAGAACATTTTAGAGAAGAAAATCTCAAAGTTGAGAAAATTCTGCCCATTACCTTGATTTTTCCTGAGGGTTGGGAGGAGACTACTACTGTTCAATTCCAGTAGTTAAATGCCTCCATCCAGTTTGAGAACCACTGCCTAGAAATGGAATGAAGTGACCATCTGGTTCATTGAAGCTCCAGTTTGGTTGGGATTGATTTCATTGGTATCATCATGCTGGGTATAGTGTGTCTAGTGGTGGACTCACCCCAGGGGACCAAAGGAGCCTGTGGGGTGGGCAGTAGCCTCTCTGGGGATGTGGTCTGCCTTAACAGCTCCGGGTTACCTTTCCCATCCCGCAGGCCAGCGGCGGCTGTGGGAGGCTGTGAAGAGGAGGAAGGCCATGTGCAAACGCAAATCATGGATGAGCAAGGTGGGTGTGTGAGGAGGGGCAGCTTCAAGGGCCCCACTTTGCTGTCAGTCCTAGGAATGGAACCTTCCCCACTCCCTGGGCAGGTGTAATCTCGCTGTGTTCCCTTGCACTTTGTACAGACCTCCCTCATCCAGGTTATTATCAGGCTGGGCACTTGTAGAGCTTCCCTGCTAAGTGTCTCCGCCAGAGACGGACACGTGAACAGCCCCTTGGTGTGCATGGAACAGGAGCTTGTTGACAAGTGCTCCTTAACTTGAGCCTTGCTCTGTCTGAGTGTTGTGGCCAGTGTCCCGAGTGGGTGTCATGGGCACTGTGTGGACCTAGGACATCTTTGCTTTGCTTCCCTCCTACCCCACCCTTTTTAGTCTCCAGGTTTCTCTGGTCATCTGGCCCCGCTGACAACTTCCTTCCCCACAGCCTGCCCCCACCCCACCTTGTCCTAATTTGGGTCTGGTGTAATGAGTCCCTGGTCTGACTCAGTGGAACTTTGCCCATTGTCTGGAAGACAATGAGAGAGGAAGTGAGCCAGCCGGGGCCTTCCCTCCCCACTTCTGGCCTCAGGGCTGGGTTGGGGGGTGGACAGGGAAGGACAGCTGGACTGGGATTGGGCAGCAGAGATTTCCTGGCTTCAGTCCGGCAAAGGGGCTGTCTCTTGGGATCCTGTGGCCTTTTCTGGGGACACTGTCCTGGTCCCTTGCCCAGGTTTTAGGAAGGATGAGTGTGTAAGGGCTGGTGGGGGCAGGAGGGAAGAGCGGTGTGATATGCTGGAATTCAGGGCTCTTGGATCTGCCACCAACCTGAGGTAGGTCCTGGGCAGTTAGTGACCCTCTCCAGACTTTAGTTGTGTCTTCAGGAAAACAATGCTGGCCGTATTGCCAAACTCACCTTGCAGGGCTGTGGGAAGCATCCCAAAGATAATGGTGTAAAGGGCTTCGTAAGCTGAGCAGGGAAATTCCAGTTACTGGGAGGAAGAAGAGAGCGGAGGCCAGAAAAGGCCCTTAAATTTGAGGCACCCCCTAGACCATATAGATAAAGCTCTGCCAACTTTGCAGGTTGGAGGGCTGGAACTAGAAAGAATCTGTAGCTTGAAGCCAAAGCTTTGGATGCCCCGGTGGAGGTGGCCGAGTCAGACTGATGTGGCCAGCTCTGACCCACACAGCCTCTACCCTCCTGTCCCTTTGGCCCCTCCCTCTCAGCCCAGGCCTTAGAATCCCCTCCAATCTTCCTTCTGTCTCAGCCCTTAGCTCTAGGCGGCCCTCCAGAAACGCAGCTGTCTTCCCAGGCCCTTCCCCAGCAAGGACTAGCTTCATCTGTACCCCACACACATAGTCACAGCTCAACCTCAGACTAAAATTATCCTCTCCCCTGGGCAGGATGAAGGGCAGCCGACTCCCTGGGGAGGGTGGAGACAGACAGCGCCAAATGGTCAGCACAGAAAAGGGGCCAGGGCTAAAAATGGACAGGGAGGTGTTTGTGGAGGGCCCCTCAGGCTCCTGCCCCATTGATGTGGGTTAAGGGTTGGAGCCTGTGTGCTGGGTAGGGGGTACAGGAAGGGAGGGTAGAAGGACTGGGAGGAAACTCAGATCTCAAGGCTAGGTGGTGCCTGGAGGGCTTTGGACTGTCCCTGTCCGCACAGCTGGGTGTGGGGCCACAGCAGCCACAGGCTGTGTGCCTGTCTGTCCCTTTCTGGCACCCACCCTGAGGCCACTCTGAGGCTGTGGGTTCCTGTTTGCGGGTGTGGTATGGAGGGAGTGTGGGCCTCCCGCCAGGCTGTGCCTGGCAGTTTGGCATAGCAAGGACTTTCTGGAGTCCGAGCCATGGACCACCAGGCGGACCCTGTGGGGTGGGACTGAGTGACTGGCTCTGGGGCCTTGGTTTCCATCTGGCCTCTGGCTGCCTTCAAACAGGTGTTCAGTGGAAAGCGGCTGGAGGCTGAGTTCCCCCCTCATCACTCTCAGAGCACCTTCCGGAAGACCTCACCTACCCCAGGGGGCCCAGCAGGGGAGGGGCCCCTGCAGAGCCTCACCTGCCTCATCGGAGAGAAGGACCTGCGCCTCTTGGAGAAGCTGGGAGATGGTTCCTTTGGTGTGGTGCGAAGGGGCGAGTGGGACGCCCCCTCGGGGAAGACGGTGAGCTGTCTGTGTCCTGCAGGCGTGGCAGAGGGATGGTACCCCTGAGACCCCCGTCTGCTGGGATGTGAATGGGACTGGGAACAGGTCACAAAGTGGCTCATGCTGGAGTCCACACTCAGGTTTAACTGAGCACATTGTTTCTTTTTTCAATTATAAAAATAATTTACTTAGTATAAAGTTTGGAAACTGAAAAATTAGAAAAAAAATTGCCTGTAATTCCACCACTCAGAGGAAACAGAGTTAACATTTCTGTCTTTTTTCCCCCTCAGGTATTTTGTTGGATTTAGTTAACATATAGATTTTGGATACAACTTTTTAAATCTTGTCCTTTCTTCTTGGCATCCTATTTTTAAGTTTTTCCCCTGAGGGATAACATATAAACACTAAAGGTACAGTTCTGAAGTGACTCTTTACACATGCGTCAGCCCATGTAACTACTGCCCAGATCATGTGGGGCACATTTCCAGCACCCCAGTGGCTCCCTCATGTCTCTGCCACTCAGTGTCCCCATGTTCCAAGGGAAGCCACGATTATGACTTTTAGCACCAGAAATTTGGTTTTTCCCATTATATTTAAAGCACTTTTTTCTTCACCAAAAACACTTTCAATATTCCATTTTATTGTAACATTTTAATATTCTAGCATCAGTCTAGTCATCTCTTACCTTATGATTGCTGTTGAGTCTGGGAATTCCCCCAGGAAGGGGATGCCCAACTGATGGCCCTCAAGGGGTCAGCCAGCTGCCCTTCCCCAGCCAGGCCACATGCAGAGTATGTAAGCACAAGCACAAGCAGATCTGAGGCAGGGATCTTTGAGCTGAGTTGTGGGGAGGAACAGGTTGGCTCAGAGTGCTGGCGGTTGAGCAAGTCTTGACTCCCTGCAAATCCTGTTCTGGGCAGGTGAGTGTGGCTGTGAAATGCCTGAAGCCTGATGTGCTGAGCCAGCCAGAGGCTATGGACGACTTCATCCGGGAGGTCAATGCCATGCACTCGCTTGACCACCGAAACCTCATTCGCCTCTATGGTGTGGTGCTTACGCCGCCCATGAAGATGGTGAGCGCTGTGGGGTAGGGGGGAGGGCAACAGGGCAGGGAGAGGCCTGTGGGATCTGGGTCCCCACATGAGCCCGTTCTCCTGCCTGTGTTGGGCTGATCTCTCCATCCTGCTTTGGTCCCTCACCTGATGTAGCAGAGGGGCTCATGAGGCCCAGCCCAGTACTGACTTTGTCTGCTGGAGCCCATGTCCCTCTCTGAATTTTGCTAGTGCTCATTGGCAGAGAGTTGCACTCATGGTAGGGGCTGGCTCTTGAGTTTAATTTTTTTGAAATTTCTAGTCTGAGCTTCTTTGGGCTGCTTCTCTGTGGGCCTCAGTTTCCCACATTGCCTGGGGGGAGAGGCCTGAGAAGCTGTAGGATTCCTAGAGGTCCCCAGAGAACAGACCAGGAAGGAGTGTTGAGCATGGCTCTGGCAGGCTTTCAGAAGGAGGACTGGGAGCCCAGCATGGGGTGCTGGGAGAGGGGTGGGGCTCATCCTGGCTCATTCCTCCTGCCTCTTCTGTGGCCTCAGGTGACAGAACTGGCACCTCTGGGATCGTTGTTGGACCGGCTACGTAAGCACCAGGGCCACTTCCTCCTGGGGACTCTGAGCCGCTATGCTGTGCAGGTGGCTGAGGGCATGGGCTACCTGGAGTCCAAGCGCTTTATTCACCGTGACCTGGCTGCCCGAAATCTGCTGTTGGCTACCCGTGACCTGGTCAAGATCGGGGACTTTGGGCTGATGCGAGCACTACCCCAGAATGACGACCACTATGTCATGCAGGAACATCGCAAGGTGCCCTTTGCCTGGTGAGGGGCAGGTGCTGCCGGCTCACAGGGCCCGCACCCCATCCTGTTTTCTGCAGACCTAGGCCTTTAAGCTCCCAGGGCCTTCTGTACTCATCACAGCCCTCAGCTCTGTCTGGGCCTGGGGTGCCTTTGTGCACCCCATGCTTTCACCCATCCACCAAAAAATTCTCGAGGGCCCACATGCCAGAGTCTGTGTCCTGGAAGACACAGGAAGAAATCCTATGGAGACTCAAAGGAGTGTGTTACTCAGTGGGGTATGAAAAGGCTTCCTGGAGGACTTGATATTAAGCTTCTCAAATATCAGGAGAAGTTAGCCAGACAAACATGTTCCAGGTGGAGCTAATGGCAGGCAAGGCTAGAGCACCCTGGGCCTTGTAGACTGTGACCAGACCTGCTCACCTGCACACTGGGCTGGTACTTGGCCCTGCCCTGTCTCCTGTGTGGGCTTATGCTTTGCTGAGACTATTATGGCCCTCTGGTACCAGAGCCACTGAAAGGAGTATGGTCTCCATGCTTTGGGGTCGGAGGGGTTGGTCCAGTTGTGCTTGCCAGAGCTTGGCTATGGGTAACCCTTATAACCCAGGCTGTATGGCCACCCTAATTAATAACTGACTTTACACCAGGGTGACCACATAGCCTGGATTGTATATATTGTCCTGGAGTAATTAATAGCAACCCCCTTTTGTGTTCAAGCATCCTGGTTTGGATGGCAAGTTACAAGGTCTTCTTTTTTTTTTTTTTAAAGATGACTAGTAAGGGGATCTTAACCCTTGACTTGGTGTTGTCAGCACCACGCTCACCAGTGAGCTAACCGGCCATCCCTATATGGGATCTGAACCCGTGGCCTTGGTGTTATCAGCAACACACTCTCCCGAGTGAGCCAAGGGCCGGCCCCTACAAGGTCTTTTTTTATAAAGCCTCTTTAAACAACCCTGTGAAGTCGTCAGGTTACTGTTATTCCTGTTTCCAGATGATGAAATCGAGGCTGAGAGATCTTGAGTGACTATCCCTGGGTCCCATCCCCTTTGAGTGGCAAGGCTGGCTCTCTAGTCCCACAGGAGATCCTTTGATTCCACGTCCAGGACACTGTCCTCCTCACCCTCTGAACCTCAGCCCGCCTTGGAATGCCCCTTCTCTGGCTTCTGCAGTGACGCTTCTCTCCCTCACCCAGGAGGGAGGCCCAGAGCAAGTAGAGGGTATTTGGGTGAAGCCATTCCACCCATTTTGGTTCTTCCTGAGGCCCTATCTGAATTCCCACCCACAACTTCCTGCTGAAATGACTCAAATCCCAGGATCCTGCCCCAAATCTGGAAATTGTCATCCTCCCACCACAGTTAGAAAACAGCCTGAACTGTTCTCCCCCACCCCATCCTGAGCCTTCTGACCTTCTTCCTTTCCCTGCTTCCCTAACTGGGAAGCTTCATGCTTCTTTTCCCACCCCAGGCTGCATGTGAATAGGGCAGCTGAGCGCAGATGATTTTCTCCATGTCTGTGTCCTTCACAGCATGTCCCTGGTGCCTACTGGTGAGCCTGGCACAGGGGGCAAGCACTAATGCGTGTTGAATGAGTATTTTATGGGCTGATGCAGGTGGGAGTGCTTGAGAGGCCTTCTCTTTGACTCCTGTCTCTGCCAGGTGTGCCCCCGAGAGCCTGAAGACACGCACCTTCTCCCATGCCAGTGACACCTGGATGTTTGGGGTAACGTTGTGGGAGATGTTCACCTATGGCCAGGAGCCCTGGATTGGCCTCAATGGCAGTCAGGTGAGAGGGCTGAGGGATGTGCTCCCTGTAAGGTGGGTGGGGGTTAATTTGGTCCCTGGCTCCCAACCTGGCCTCGTTGGAACTGGCTGTCATCTGATGGACTCCTTTCTCCCCCAACCCCCATGTCTGCGTGACTTCCCAGGGAGAGCTGAGCAGAGAAGGGGCTGCCCCAGTGGGTCAGGGGAGGAGAGAACTGGGCTCTCCTTCCCTAGCCCTTAACATTTCCACCTGTTCTGAGGCCCCAGACCTGGATATAATGGTCATAGGCTCCAGGGATAGGGCCTTGCCTGCGTAGTCAGATCTTTCCCTTGGAGGACAGGCCTGACAGCCAGCAGCTGCAGTTTTAGGATGGGTTAAAGGGAAGGTCGGACGTGTAAAGCTGAGTGCTCTGCTTGTCCTCAAACTCTGCACCAACCCACCTTCAGATCCTGCATAAGATTGATAAGGAGGGGGAGCGTCTGCCCCGGCCTGAGGACTGTCCCCAAGACATCTACAATGTCATGGTCCAGTGCTGGGCTCATAAGCCGGAGGACAGACCCACGTTTGTGGCCCTGCGGGACTTCTTGCTGGAGGTAAGGGGCAGGTCTGCCACAGGAGCAGGGGTGTCTAAGCAAGGGGTTGCCCAAGGGTCAGTCTCTGAGTGGGCAGTGATCTGTCTGCCCCCAGGCACAGCCCACTGACATGCGGGCCCTTCAGGACTTTGAAGAACCAGACAAGCTGCACATACAGATGAACGATGTCATCACTGTCATTGAGGGAAGGTAAGGAGTGTGGGGGCTATGCCCTGCCCTGGGATCCCTTGAAGAGCACAGGTTGGAGGGGCCTGTGGGCAGAGAGCTATTATGCCTCAAGATTTCCGTGGCAACATGCAGTCTGGAGGTTGGGCCTGAGACCCGCAGAATGAGGGCAGGCCTTGGTCAGGCTCCTGAGTGCTTGGGTTTAAGGACCAAGATGCTATTGCTCAGATGGGATTTTCCCTAACTCCCCCTCTGTTATCTTCCTGCTGGACTCCAGTCCTGCTATGTGTATCAGAGCCAAGCTGCCACTGTGGTGAGGAGGAGGAAGTGGCCCAGTCTGGCCTCAGGGCCATAACAGAGCACTCTGGAACTCCGGAGCATTCCTCCTCCTCCTCCTCCTCCCCCACTCCTTCTCTCCCTATCTCCCCTCAGCATGAGGATGTCACTCTCCACCTGGGTGCCTTTCAGCACCCAAAAGCAGCCTCTCCTCTGCCCAGGCCCTGCTCTCTCATCAGCTTTCCATTCTTCCCACTAAGCTCCTCTGCCCCCTCCCAGGGCTTCCCCTAGTCCTGGACCTCCTTCCATCCTCTGCCTGGGCCCCTGCCTTCACCCCCCTTTCTTCTCAGTCTCCCCTTGCAGGACCCTCTCTATTCCTGACCCCCTTCCTCCCCCGACACAGCCTGAAAACGTGTGTGCCTACCAGCAGCATCTCCTGAGTCACTGTCTCCTACTCGCAGCCCCCGCAGTTCTCGCCCGCCTGCCCTCGGAGGCTCCACCCTCTGCCGGCCCCACCCTCTGCTGTCTGATCCCCAGTGTGTCTGAGGAACTGGTTGGGGCAGGGGTGAGCATGGAGGAGCTGGAAGAAGAGTGAGGCAGAGGAAATGCCCTATGCATCCCGCTTCTCTGACTCAGAACCAGGCAAGGATGAGGCAGGGTCTGCATCCCATGGAGCCTTTTCTACCTGGACTTCAGGTTTGGGGGCCTTTGGCCTTCAGTTAAACCTTGTACCTCATGGAGGGTGGTGAGTAGGGAGAGCCTGTGGGTCTGAAGAGTCATAGAGATGTCTCTGGAACCTGTGCTGGTGGTGTAGGGATGTGACCTACACCCACTGTGGCCCCAACACCTCCTCCCCAGGACAAGGCTCCCTTGCCTTTGGGCCCAGAATCTGAAAACAAGAATGACATGCCAACAGGTTGCAGGGGGAAGGTATGGTTGGAGAGTTAGTGGCGGTGGAGGAAAGCAGAAAGCGTCTAGAAGGAGAGAGACCTGGGGACAGGCACAATCACAGTCTATGGGTTTGGAGCTGAGGGGTCGGGAAGGGAGCATAGATATGGCACTCTGGGGAACATTCTGGAAGCAGGGAATATTAAAGGTGGGGGCCTTTCTATAGTATGGCAGGGCCTGAATCCAGATGTCTGGGCCCACAACCATTCCCACCTCCAGGAGCCAGAAAGACTTGTGCCTGACCATGCCTCCTGTGCTCCTGTAGCCCCAGGTCTTTACCACCCCGATCTCTTGCTCTCGGTGGGATCCTGTGTGCCAGGGTCCAGTGTTCCCCAGGCAGTAACTCAGGAGCTTCTTATGTTTCTGGGGTGTATGTCTCTGGAGCTGGTGCCCTTGGTCACCACTGGAGCAAGGCGGGCAGCAGGAGGGGCCATGGGTGTGCCCTGCCCTGTCCCGCCCTTCGTCACAGGCTCCGGTTGGCCCCAGCTGCTGGTTCCACCACGGCTGGGCTTGCTGGGCTCCTCCTCCTGGGCCACCAGCCCTGACTTGGACTGCAGAGCCTACCCTTAGTCCCTGGAGCTGCTCAGGAGGTGGGAGGTGAGGGGCAGGAGGCCACAACAGCTGGTGAGGCTTTGGGAGTGGGCCTGTGTGTCGGTGGTACCAGAGCTTTCACTCTGCCCCCCTGTTTTCCCAGTCCCCGAATACTCTGTTTGTTTGGCCGACTCCGTCTCCATGTCTCCGGGTGGATGAGCTCTCTGTTCTTGTGTCTCTTTGGGCTTGGTGTGTACGTGTGGGTCTCTGCCTGTTTCTCTGTCTCCCTCTTAGCCTGTCTCTCAGCTCTTTTTTTCTGTGCCTTCTCTTAGCCTTGGAGTCCTCCTTGCCGAAGCTGTTGCTAGTACCTGCTTCCCAGTCCAGAGTCCGGGAAGCCACTTGCCCCAGCTCTGCCTGATTCTGTAGGTTCAGTGCTTCTTAGGGTACCAGACAGTGAGCAGACACCTAGATATTTTGCAAGTTGGTTAGAAGACTGTCCAGATTTGGAGGGACAAATTATGACTAGTCTTTCCCAGGGGGTCTTATTTGGAGGGTGGGATGGCTGGCAGCACTTTCGTGTTCTGTTTTTACAGAACTGGTGAAGGAGGACAGAGGCTTTGAAATCCATTTGTGGGTCCTTGGCCTGGCCTGGCCCTGGAGCTCTGCTTCCTGTGGTATGTGGGAGAGGTGGGGTACAAAAAGTATCTGGGTTATCCCTCGAGGCCAGGGGTGCCTGGGACACCCAAAGAGAAGTGGATGGGGTGGGTGCTTTGAGCAGAAGATTAGGCAGGGTTTGTTTAGGCATTTGTGGAGTACCTTAGGCCAGGACTGGAACAAGGTGCTGAGATTTCCAGAGCTGGGGCAGCCTTAGAGAGTTCTCAGCTGAGGCCTCAGTTTTCCATCTTGTCTGCCCCAAGGATGCTGATGGGAGAGCAGCAGGAAGTAGAAAGTTCATGCTGGAGGCACTGGGTCCTTTTCTTACCCCGCCAGGGACTCCCCATCTGTCTCTGCTTCAGTCACTGCCGGATGGCAGTCCTGGCCCTCCCATTACCATGGAGACTCTGGCCTGTTCGTGGTGGGGAAGAGAGGGTGTGGCCAGAGCAGGCTGGGTGTGAGGGCTGGCCTCAGTCCCCTTTGGGCTCCTGGCACCTTAGCCCCACTGAGCCTCCAGGGGGATCTGTGGGCAGTGAGATGTAGCATTGGCCATCTTGGAAGTTCTATTTGACCCTTGTCAGGGGAAGAGGCTGCCCCTGAGTGTGCTCAGATACACTCCCAAGGGGTCTCTTATTCTTACACATACTCTGCACTCTGACTCCCCTTCCCCCAGTGACAAGCATGTTTCTGAAAAGTGGTGTCAGGACTCCCAGTAGCCATGAGGCTCTTGCCTTGGCCATGCCTGTGATAACGGGAGGTGGGCTTGGTGTCTCTTTTCACTCTTAGAAGTGCGTCTAAAAGGCTTCAGTGTGAGAAGCTGGGCTATGTTGGCAAAAAGAAGGGGCTGGAGAGAATGACCTCCTGCCGGACCTGTCCTAGGACATGGGTTCATTCTACTCTGGACAACATCTCCACCTCAGCTGTGTTCTCACCTGAGTTAATGAGCACCTCTGAAGAGGTGCGGAGAGCAGAGTACTGCGTCTGGCCCTGGGGTGGCGAGGGGCCGTCTGGTGGAGGGAACCAGTGGGTGTTGGGGGAGAGCAGCAGCCGGGGGCCCATGTGCCAGGCATCCCTCCCCAACTTGGCTTTCACTGGAGGCTCTGTGTGCGCAGTGGCAGCCATTTCTCTCCTCCTCGGAATGGCCTTGCTGCTTCGAATGGGCCTTGTCCTCCTCGGGGTGTTGTCCTCTCTCCTTCCTTCCCAGCCTGAAGGCAGGGTGGTAATCACAGGACTCCTCTGTCTGGTGGTGGGGTCGGGTCAGGTGGTCCTGTTGACAAGGAGGCTGGGCTGTGGGGTCTCAGTCCCACCCTCACCTCCCCAAGGACTGCCGTGCTCATGGGGTTTGACTTTTGGTTTCTGGGACAGGCTGTTTGGAGGTCACCTCATGGAGCAGTGGGCCCAGGTGCACGGGTGTCACCTCCTCTTACCCCTCTGGTCTGGCTGCATTCAGGGGAGGTCTTTCTTTACACTTCTGGCTCTGAGGTGAAGTAGGGGTGGGATTGACAGTGAGGGCACGCAGCTGGTGTCACAGGTGTTGCCCACAGCAGCATGAGGCCGTGACCACTGCTGCCTCAGCAGATTCTGCCCACAGCATCAGGTAGGAACAATCCCAGCAGCAGATGCAGGACCTCATGGCTTGTCAGGGCTGTGAGGCTCTAGAAGTGTCCAGGGGAGAGCCCTGTTCTTTCTGGCCCATCTTCCCCACCCTACCCCAGGCCCCAGCTTAGGCTGCCTTGGCAGAGGTGTCACGTCGAAGTCAGAGCAAGTTCAGTCACAGTGGGAGTTCTGAGTCCCTTCTGGACCCCTCATTTTAAGACCAGAGTGGAGCGCCCCTGAGGAGATGGGTAGGGAGGCCAGGGTGAGGGTCCCACAGCCCTGCCAGGAGTTGGTGGGAAGCCCTGGAGACACGTGGAGTGGTGAAGAGAAGCCTGGGCTGCCCAAGTAAAGGTCTTAGTGCAGGAGAGAGTCTAGGGGGACAGCTTTGGCCCCAAGCCCAGGGGTAAGATCATGGTGCTTTCTTGGGCACTGCATCTCTTAAAATTCCTGGAACCTGGCTGAAGAGTAAAATCGGGTGGCCAGAAGAGGACTGAGGCCCAGGCCTTGCCAGGGGAAGAAGGAGGCAAGGTGGTATTATCAAAGGGCGCTGGCTTTGCAGACTTAACAAATGAGTTTGAATTCTGGGTCTGTTGTGATCTTTCTGGTAACCGTAGACAAGTCATGTCGCTTGTTGGAACCTGTTTCCTTGTTTGTAAAATGTTGGAAAAGCTGCCTGACCCACCTAGAGAACTTAGGTAAGGCTATTTGCAAACAGCCAAGCCTTGTGTGGGAGTCGCAGGTCCTGGGGCTGCTGGGGAAGGTGGGCTGATGGAAGACCACCTGGTTCTGAGGCCTTGGCCCTCCTGCTCCTCTTCTGCCAAGATGGCCAGGTATCGTGGGTAAGGAGAGCTTGGTCTGAGAAGGGTCCCACTGCCTTGGGCGCCCTGCCACGCCTGGCATTCACTGTGTCATTTCTGTTGGGCAGGGCTGAGAACTACTGGTGGCGTGGGCAGAACACGCGGACGCTGTGTGTGGGGCCTTTCCCTCGCAACGTGGTGACCTCCGTGGCTGGCCTGTCTGCCCAGGACATCAGCCAGCCCCTGCAGAATAGCTTCATCCACACAGGGCATGGCGACAGTGACCCCCGCCACTGCTGGGGCTTCCCCGACAGGATCGATGAGTGAGTACCTGCGCAGGGCTCCCGACATGACCCTGCCCGTGGCTTCAGGGTCAGCAGCCTTCCATCTCACCATGCACAAGCTCACGTGCTCTTCACCCTTTCTCTTATCTCCAGCCCCTGGCCCCGACCAGTCCTCCCTCCCGATTCCCTGCCTCACTCTTGTGAAGCTGTGAAACCCTAAAAGCCCCAGCTGGAGAGTCAGGATTCCTGATCAGGATGTTTTCTCTTCTGTTTGCAAGTTTGTGGAAAAGTCTTTTAACTCTTGAGGCTTCCTTCGACTGTAAAATGGGTACACCCAACAAATGGGGTGATGAGGTGAGGGTAGTAAATGCATTCTGAATTAGAAAGTGCTACTCACGTACAGGGGTCATGAGAGAAGCTGAAACAATGGGCTATTCCCAAGTCCATTTTCCTAAGGCCAGTGTCCCAAGAGGGTTCCGGCTGTGGCCCTGGAGGCCTTTCCACCAATGGGAGTGTGGTGCGCCCTTGGAAGCTCCCGACCCCGGTTTTGCCTACATGGAAAGCTGCTGGGCAATGAGAGACCCTCTGCCTACGGCTGTGGCAGGGCCTCGGAAGCATGGCTTTCGCAGTCTGCTGTGGAACGTGTCACTATGCCACACCTTGAAGCTCTTACGCCTGCTCTGGCCTTCTGACCTGTGCTGACATGGCCACTGCCCCTTCAGCCACACATACACACGGTCTCTACCTCGTCAGTTGCTTTCCCCCGACCTGACACCCTTCTGGCCGCAGAGGCAGAGATGGGGCACTTTTCCCATGCCACAGGGTTTATGCTTTGTCCTTCAGGATCCTTCCTTCTGTACAGAAGTTTACCCGCATACAGGGGCAGCTTTGGTTTCTTCCCTTTCTGTGCTGTTGTATTTTGCTGTTCTTTCTTCCTCAGTACTCCCCTGGCTTTCACATGAGTGGGTGTGGTGGGTCCATAATGCTCATAGGCTGGCACCACACCCAAACTCTGTGGAGGGAGTGGCTTCCGGCAGGCTGGAGGGACCTGGCCGACGGTGTCGGTGCTCTTTCACTGGCCCAGAGGTCTGCAGGCATCTGTGAGACGTGAATGTGCAGAGGCACTTTCGGGTTTTTCTCTCTCTTGCCCTCAGGTCTCCCCTGCAGGTTCACCTGGCCATGGTCTTCCAGGCCCACATGTGTTGCTCATTTCTCTTCTCTTAGGTTCCTTCAGAAGAACCAGGGCCTGAGAGAGTTGGGGCAAGAGGGTGCAGACACTTCCAGGAGGAGCCCAATGCCCTCTGCCCCACTCCTGGTGTGCCGTGGCCAGCCCAGCCCCATTCCTCTGGGCTTTAATCAGCCCCAGTGACTAAGCTCCAGTTACTGACAGTTGGCATAGGGGTTGAGGGTGAATCGGGAACAGGGCAGGTGGCCCATCCTCTCCCCTACCTCCTGGTAGTGCAGCAGAAGGATACCTCCTGCCCACCCTGGCTAGGGGAACTGTAGGCTGGATGCCCCTGTTCCAGGCCCTCCCAGTTGGCCTATAGCACTGAAGAGAGTATGGTATGCCAGCAGGTGGCTGCCTGGCATGGGGAGGGGTTCTGTACCTTTGTGGGGTGTTGGAGCCCCTGAAGTTCTAGACTTTTCACCCTGCTGTTTCTCTGTGTCGTTTCTCTGCCCCTCGTGAGACACTTTTCTGGTTATAGCTTAAATCTACAGAAGGGATCAGGATCTACAGATTGGGAGTTGGGAGCCCTGTGCTTCAGACCCAAGTCTGCCAGTCAGCTTCCTCTAAGATGAAGAGGCTTTGTTAGGTAGTTCCCTGGCCAAACTTAGGGTTTTATTTTCTGCCTGGGGACAGGCCCAGCATTTCTTTTTTTTAAAAAAAAAGTTGACTGGTAAGGGGATCCTAACTCTTGACTTGGTGTTGTCAGCACCACGCTCTCCCAAGTGAGCCACGGGCTGGCCCTCAGGCCCAGCATTTCTGCCACAGGTTTCCTCACTGCACACGCTTCCTCCACCCTCTGACCTGGCTCTCTCACGCAGGCTGTACCTGGGAAACCCTATGGACCCTCCCGACCTTCTAAGCGTGGAAATGAGCACTTCCCAACCTGCCCAGCATCTAGGAAGGCTGAAAAGTAAGAGCCCTCTCACTCCTTGACTACCCAGGAAGGGCACTGTCTTCTCAGGCCACCCTGAGCCCACTATTCTGGCTTTGGGGACAGTTGGGTCAGGGCAGCAGGCGGGACAGCTGTGTCCCTGGCTGCAGCTGGGCGTGGGGTGGGAGACTAGAGGCAACTGTGTCCGCTGAGGTGGGCATCCTCGGGCTGGTCCTGCCCGCCTCAGCTTCCCTCCTCCCTCCTTCCTCACTTGCTGTGCTCAGATCCTGGCTTTCCTCACTCCCCCCTAATCCTGCTCCCTTCTGAGCCAAAACCACCCCACGGGCTCCATCTTGGCCCGGAGCCTCATCCATCTCCCGGATCCTGTGCCTGTCATTCCGGAACACGGTTTTCCCCATCCTGCCGCCCATTGCCTCTCGTTAGCTGTTGTTTGTACATTCACTCGCCTCTGTTCACGGCACACTCTCTCTCCCCCCTCCAAACTGCCCTCTTGTCTGGCTGTCTCCCCTCCCTCGTCCTCCGCCCTGCTCTGTCACTCTCCTCTCCTGCCCGCATGGCCTTTCTTGCAGGGGAGCCTCCGCCTCGCCCTCCTCAGCCTGCCATCTTCACTCAGAGTAAGTGGGCCGCTCTTGACGCCTTAGCCCCTGCCCTTCTCTCCTCCCTCTCCTCTCCTCCTGGAAGATGCAGGGCCCCGGCTGATGGCTGGTGGGAGGGGAGGTGGGTGTGCTGGCAGCTTCTGCTGCTGACCCGGCCCAGCATGCCTGCCTCCCCCCATCACACCCCAAAAGCCTGGGCTTCTGGAGCAAGCATGTGCTGGCACCTGCCTCAACCTCTCTCCGCCATGGCCTCACTCCCTTTGTGACCTGCAGAGGCTGTGTCTGGGCTTTTGTGGGGGTTAGCCAGGGGCTCTGTCCTCTTCAAAGGTAGCTCCTGTCGTCCCCGATGGCAGCTGAATGCTGAGCCCCATGCCTGCACTAATGGTGTGCTGTAGTGGGGCGGGGGTAAGGGCGTGTGAACCAGGGCCGAGGAGCAGGGGTCTTGTGTTGATGGAGGCAGCATCAGAGACAGGCAGGAATGGGGTGTTGCTTCCCGAGCATAGGTGGAGGCAGAGGCTCACCAGCCCACAGAGAGAGCCTCCTGTTGGAATGGGGTCAGTGTGCACCAAGAATTTTGGCAGCGAAGGACTGACCTCTGGGGGAACTGGGAGCAGAGAGGTTGTGGGAGATACTTGGTTTACTTTCCCACACCCCGCCTTCCCTTGTCCCCCTACCCCTCCGTAACACCACCTCCCTGTGGGGGTGGGTCTTCCTTTCACAGAACCTGCCTATGACCCTGTGAGTGAGGACCAAGACCCCCTGTCCAGCGACTTCAAGAGACTGGGCCTGCGGAAGCCAGGCTTGCCCCGAGGGCTGTGGCTAGCGAAGCCCTCGGCCCGGGTGCCAGGCACCAAGGCAGGTCGTGGCAGTGGGGGTGAGGTCACCCTTATTGACTTTGGCGAGGAGCCCCTGCTCTCGGCCCCACAGCCCTGCACGCCCTCCCTGGCACAGCTTGCCATGGATGCCTGCTCCTTGCTGGACAAGACCCCGCCACAGAGCCCCACACGGGCACTGCCCCGGCCCCTTCATCCCACACCTGTGGTGGATTGGGATGCGCGCCCGCTGCCCCCACCCCCTGCCTATGACGATGTGGCCCAAGACGAGGATGACTTCGAGGTCTGCTCCATCACCAGCACCCTGATGGGTGTGGGGCTCTCTGCTGGGCCAAGCCAGGGCGAGACCAATTACGCCTTTGTGCCTGAGCAGGTGCGGCTCCCCCCTACCCTAGAGGACAACCTGTTCCTCCCGCCCCAGGGTGGGAGCAAGCCGCCCAGCTCTGCCCAGACTGCAGAGATCTTCCAGGCACTGCAGCAGGAGTGCATGCGGCAGCTGCAGGTCCCTGCTGGCTCACTGGCCCCCTCACCCAGCCTGGTGGGTGATGACAAGCCCCAGGTGCCCCCCCGGGTACCCATCCCCCCTCGGCCCACACGCCCACGTGTTGAGCTGTCTCCAGCCCCCTCAGGTGAGGAGGAGATGGGCCTGTGGCCTGGACCTGCCTCCCCTCCCAGGGTGCCTCCCCGGGAGCCCCTGTCCTCTCAAGGCTCGAGGACCCCCAGTCCCCTGGTGCCACTGGGCAGCTCCCCACTTCCACTCCGGCTCTCAAGCTCACCTGGGAAGACCATGCCCACCACCCAAAGCTTTGCCTCAGACCCCAAGTATGCCACACCCCAGGTGATCCAGGCACCTGGCCCACGGGCTGGTCCCTGCATCCTGCCCATCGTCCGCGATGGGAAGAAGGTCAGCAACACCCACTACTACCTGCTGCCTGAGCGCCCACCTTACCTGGAGCGCTACCAGCGCTTCCTGCGTGAGGGCCAGAGCCCGGAGGAGCCAGCACCTCTGCCCGTGCCCTTGCTGCTGCCCCCACCCAGCCCCCCAGCCCCTGCTGCCCCCATGGCCGCAGTTCGACCAATGCCCCAGGCTGCCCCAGACCCCAAGGCCAACTTCTCCACCAACAACAGCAACCTAGGGGCCCGGCCACCAGCACTGAGGGCCACTGCTCGGCTGTCACAGAGGGGCTTCCCTGGGGATGGGCCAGAAGCTGGACGGCCAGCAGACAAGATCCAATTGGTGAGTACCAGGCCTGGCTTGGGGTGAGGAGGGGTAGGGGCCCAAGGGACCCAAAGGAATGGGCCCAAGTGGTGCTGATGGGTGGGTGGGTGTGCCCAGCTGCAGGCCATGGTGCATGGGGTGACCACAGAGGAGTGCCAGGCGGCCCTGCAGAGCCACGGCTGGAGTATGCAGAGGGCTGCCCAGTATCTGAAGGTACCACCACCTCCTACCCACTCTGGTGTTCAGGGACCCTAAAGGCTGGTTCTGCTGCTTCCAGCCTCCCCACCCCCAGCTCTGATTCGGCTCTGCCCCTGCCCTGGTCTGGTGCCCCTTGGCCCCAGTGTGTCCCATGGCACCACCTTCTGCCCCCCAGGTGGAGCAACTCTTTGGGCTGGGTCTGCGGCCACGGGGGGAGTGCCTCAAAGTGCTGGAGATGTTTGACTGGAACCTGGAGCAAGCCGGCTGCCACCTTCTGGGCTCCTGTGGCCCTGCCCACCACAAGTGAGCCAGCCCCACACTCTGCCCCACTCCCTGTCCCATGAGAGGAGTCCCTGGAGTGTTCCACACTAGGAAAAAGCTCAGTGCCTCACAGGCCACAGGGCCAGGGAGACACAGGGCCTGTCTGTGGTGGGAGGGGGGAGGGGGGGAATGGGTCCCAGGAAGCAGGCACTTTTGGTTGAAAACAGTTTCTCCTAAATGAATTTATTTAAACTTTTTAGCCACTTGGTTTTCAAATGAAGTAACCAGTGAGAGAGGGAATTGGAATGTCTCTGGTTGAAGGGGTCTTGCTTCCCTCGCTCCTCCCACTGTGACCCTGAGCACCTCCAGGAAGCAGCACTTTAGGACCCAACGATTTAAACAAATATTTGTCACCTCTTTTTTTCATATTTCTGTTTAGAGTAATGTTTAACTTTTTATTTTTTTTTTTTTGGCGGCTGGCTGATACAGGGATCCGATCCCTGACCGTGGTGTTATCAGCACCACGCTCTAACAATTGCGCTAACTGGCCAGCCCCAATGCCTTTTTAAAGGAATGTCCACCCCCGCCCCAGCAAAAAAAAAATCCATTATTTCTTTCCTGTTAAGTTTATATGCCTAACACAATATATAGACACCTAAATAACATACAATGATATTTGAATATATATATGAAACTTTTATCAAGTCAAAAAGTAGTGAAACACAGTCAGATGGGTGAAGTCGTCATCATGCCGGGAGTGCTGATGAGATGTGGGGCTAAGACTTGTTGGGCTTTGGAGGCAGATAGCTCAACTCAGAACCAGCCTTTGCTGTTCACCGGCAGCGTGACCTTACGCACATTTCCTGAGCGCTCAGGTTCCTCATCGGTAAAGTCTGTAATTGATAGTGCCTGCCTCATAGAAGTCAGCAGAAAGATTAATGAGATGTGTCTGTCATAGAACACATCAAGTGACTGGCACGTAGGACATAATCACTAAATGTTAGGTATTATCTCATGGTTATTGCTAATTTGCATCCAAATAAGCTTAGACTTTATCATACCTGTCATCCTCGGGTACTCAATGCAGCAGTCCTCCCTTACCCAACGTTCCAAGACTCCCAGTGGATGCCTGAAACCACCAATAGTACCAACTCTACATATATTGTGTTTTTTTCCTGTATGTACATACCTTTCACCTTTTCACTTAAAGGAAGCACTTTGTTGCTTCTCTTTGGCATATCTGAATTGCCAGCATCACTGCTCTTGTGTTTTGGGGCCATTATTAAGTGAAATAAGGGTAACTTGAACACAGGCACTGTGATACCGCAACACTGCGACAGCTGATCTGATAACCGAGAGGGCTAGTAAGTGACCAGCGGGCGGGTGTTGTGGACAGCATGTATGCTGGACAGAGGGATGATTCACATCCCAGGTGGGGCAGCTTGAGATTTCATCACACTACTCACAACAGTATGCAATTTAAAACTTATGAATTGTTTGTTTCTGAAATTTTCCATTTAATATTTTTGGACTGCGGTTGACGGAGGCTAACTGAAAATGTGAAAAGCAAGACCATGGGTAAGGGGAGACTACTATACACAAAGATGCTGTTCTCTTAATTTATTTACAGTTTAGTAAAGAAGAAACGCATTTCAGGATCATAAGTTCCAAAATTATTGCCTAGAACTACCAGTTTTCAACCAATTTGCCTGGTACCAAGAGGCAGTGACCCCTGTGGCCCTTTGGTGCCCACCCACACTATTTTCCACCACCTGTTTAACCAGCACCTGTTGATGGAGGGACTTCTTGGTGGTTTTGCATCCCTTAGGCGCTGAGATGCATCTGGAGAGCTGAAGGGTCTGCCCTGAAGGAATCACTTGAGCCTGTCCATCTGTCAAGGGTGGAGAGACACCCCTACCCAGGCCTGGAGGACCTGCTGCTACCAGCTGCTCCCAGTAGACAGAGCGAGGCCAAGGCAGCAGGAGGCTGGGAGCCCTGCCTTGCCTGTCCCTCCCTCACCTAGTGCTGTCCCCGCACACTTTGTTTCAGCCCTCGGTGCCCCAGCCAAGATGTGGGAAGGAGACTGTGAAGGCAGGCCCTGTGTATGACCTGCCTCTGGCTCTAGTCCTTCGCTGGGCCTGTGGCTGTAGTGGTGCCCCCAGGCCCTGCCCAGGGGGATCAAACTGAGAGGAAGCTGGGCTTGACGTGTGCAGGGAGGATGTGTTGGCCACACAGAAAGGTGGACCAGCACCTGGCGGGCCCTCCTCAGGGCTATGCCCTTTTCCAGGGAGCCACTGGCAGGCAGTTGGGTTGTTGGACAGAATGTGACTTGCTGCCTTGCCATAAACACGTTATGGGACTTGGCTGGTCTTACGATCTTATGCCTGGAAATAGCCTGAGGTGGCTCAGAAAGCAGAGAAAGGGTGCCAGATCATTCTCTGGCAGGGACCAGGGCCCAAGGCCCCAGGGTTGGAAGGAGACCAAGGGGGCAGCAGCCCTGGAGAGACACCAATACTTCCTCTTCTCTTCCCCTTCTGCTGTTCTGTGTTTTCCCACCAGCTTCTGTCACCAAAGTTGTTGCCCCAGCTATCAATACCTGCTTCTTCCAGATAAATAAAGTTAGTTTCTATTTTATGTTACTTATCTGTGCCTGCCTGTTTTTTTTGCCAAGGCTCCTACTCCATCTGTTCAGGGCAGCAGGCCTTGTAGCACCATCTGTAGGCAGAGGGAAGAAGTGCCGGCCAGGGAGATCCTAAGGAGTCTCTCCTTCCAGAGCTGGCAGAGGGGCCAGAGTCCACGCCTAATCTAGTCACTAACTCACAGTTCCCATGTTTTCACTCTGTGGATTTCCGTATGGCAGGATATAGTGCAGAAGAGAGTAAAGTAACTCAGATAACTGGAGCTAAGCTAGAAACTTTAGTAACAAGGGAGGCATCAATAGGTGTAAGTATTTTAATTTGGGTTTTCTGGATAACTAATATATTCAAATGGGTCAAAATTCAAAAGGTACTAAAGAGTGTACAATGAAGTGTCCCACCCCAGCTGCCCACTTCCCCTCCCCAGAAGCTGCCTTTGTCAGTTTCTTGTGTGTCCTTGTGTAAATAAGCATCTTGAAAAGTTCCATGATGATACTGAGAAAGAACTTCCCCCATTCTTGTTTAGGGTTGCATGGAGGTCTGGGTGTACCGTAATCTATCTAACCAGGCTCCTTTTGATGAAGGGATATTTTGGTTGCTTCCTATCCTTGGCAATTACAACCACTGCTGTAGTAGATCATGTGTATGGGCTGTTTTTCGCTTGTAAGTCCATCTGAAGGATGAGTTCTCAGCAGTGAAACCTGGGGTCAGAGCATGTGAAATAATGACAGATGTTGTGAGTTGCCCTCGGTGGAGGTAGTTCAGTTGTCAGGCAGCAGTGTGTGAGAGCTTTCCACCTATCAGGAGATTTCCAATTTTTGCCAGACTCACTGGTAGGAAATGATGTTTCTGTATTTTAATTTGCATTTCTCTTATGAATGAATAAACCTTAAAAAAATAAGTTGGGCCATTTGCATTTTCTTTTCTGTGGCTTGCCTATGAATATCTTTGGCCCACTAAAAAAAGATAGATTATTAATTCGTTTCTTAGTGTTTTTTAGGAAATTACTAGATCAAGGAAATTAGCACTTTGAGCTTTACATGTTATATGAACTTAGGTAAAGACGTAAATCATAAAGTAAGCTGATGGCTTGGATTTGTTAAAAACAAAACAAAGGCTATTTGGGATGAGGCTGGGGCACTCTTTGCAGCTCTAGGCGGACCTATGTGATGGACCCTGGGGCTCAGAAGCTGGGAGGCCTGGGAGATCTGGAGCCTTCAGAGGTAAACATGTTCAGTGTGCCCTGTTTGCTAAGGCAGGAATTAAATTATTTTTAACTGCAATTAAAAAAAAATATTTAGTCAAATATAAAAGGGAAAGAATGAATGTTAATTAGGCTTTAAGCAGTGCTGTTAGACCTGGATTCTATTCTCAGCTGTTTCTTCTTGGAAAAGTTATTTAACCTTTCTGAGCCTATCAACTAGAGGAGAGGCATTCCTGCTTTAGAGAATGGTTGTGAGGACTAAATGGGGTGAGCATTAGAAGGTAAAACAGTTTGCTTGGTACATGGGCCATAATAAGTACCCACAAAACTAATCACAAATTTTTTCTTAGTGTTCCTGCCTGTTTCTACCAACTTACAGTTTACATTATACACTGACTGTACTCTGCATGCAGTTGTGTTTTCTCATTTTTCCTCAATTTTTTAAACATGGAAACAGTTTGTTCTTTGGTCCACACGCAGACATCCTATTTATAGGTCACAGGCATTTTAGACTCCGTTTTAAAAATCATGCCATTGTTTTGAAAACGATAGCAGACTCATATGCTTTACCAGCATTTAAGAGTTTGTTACAGAGCTGACACATTTCAGATTTTTTTGCATGGGGCACAGAGTAGGACACCGAAGCAGATGGAATTTTCTCAGGGGATCGGGAAACCCTATGTACTTTTGCTGGACACACAGTTCCCTAAACCCTAGGGTTTCCTACTGTTTTTCTTATCAGCCTGCAGCTTTTGCCAGCATCTCCTGGGCTTACTAAAAAGATCTTACTTAAGGGGAGCTGTTGAAAAAGCTGACCAAGGTTTGTTTGTCATCGTGGGGAATCAATTTGGTGAGGATTTATTGGGGACTTTCTCTGAATCAAGCCCTGATAAGGGGACACAAGCTGAATAGACACAGTCCATACCCCAGCGGGGGTTCACGGTCTTTCAGGGACTGTAACATCATCAGAGTAAGATGACGAGTGCCCTACAGTCAGTCATTATGTCCCAGGGGGCCTTGAGCACAGAGGAGGTGTCTCTCCAGGAGATGGCACTGTGCTAACTGGATGGGACAGCATTGCAGGTGAGGGACCTGCTGCAATGGTAGGAGGCACGAACTGGCTTGTCCGAAGTGCTGAAGTTTGGCTAGGCTGGGCCCATCCTTTTGTTGTTTGGGGTGGGTTGGATGTGGCTGTCAGTGAGCCTGGCCAGTGAGGCAGGCCTGAGTCATGAGCCATTGGTGGTGTGAAATGCTGAATTCTTTTGACTTTGCAGACAGAGGGAGGCAGCAGAGGAGAATATGCAGAAGGATGATGTGATCGGTTCTTTGTGTTTAAGCAACATGGGTCTGCTTCAAAGTGGCTCGTGCTCCACTGCCGCAGCGACTGGAGGGGAGATCTAGCACGTGTCTCACCGCTCACTGGGAACAAAAATTGTTCTTAATTTGAAGTAAGCTAATTCTTACAGAAATTTGAACTTGGGGAATGGAGGAGCCCCAAGTCCTGGAATCCTTGGCGAGAGCAGCGGTTCTGGCAGGCCAGACCAAGGACACTGCTGGCCTAGGGTCAAGCTTTCTTCACAGGTCTGAGTGAAATAATAAGAACCACATGACTGAGCTTTTCTTAAAATGAAATGTACTGCATTTCAAGGACTGACTTTATTCTGAGACTTGTCTTCGTCCATTTTTGGTTTTGAAAGTTTATTCTTGTGTGGTGATGGTCGTGGTAGGATTCGATGTAGATTCGTCGCCGCTGCCCTTCTGTAGCAATGCCCTGTCAGCACACTCCGACAGCAGTTATTGTGACCATTCCTGAGATCGATCTTGAGAACCTCGGGGGAACAGCGCTTTTGTGTTAGGCAGCACCACCTATTGGCAAAAGGTGACATTGCAACCTCTCAGGCTTAAGTTCAAATACCGGGAGGGTTAAGATTGTGTAAAGCCATTGCCCAATAAATCAATGAAGTCCAAATGCTGCTGGCCCAGGCCCAGAGTCGTTAAAGGGACTCAGCCTGGGGAAGCTTGGAGGGGAGGGAACAGATTCACCCACTGTATTAGTCAGGGTTCTCCAGAGAGAATCAATAGGATACGTTATAAACATATGAGAGGGATTTATTAGGGGAATTAGCTCACGTAACTGCGAAGAAAAGTCCTACTATAGGCTGTCTATAAACTGGATGCCGGTAGCATGGCTCAGTCCAAGTCCAAAGGCCTCAGAACCAAGGAAACTGATGGTGTGCTTGGTGTAAGTCCTGGAATCCAAAAGCTGAAGAGTCTCGAGCTCTGATGTCCACGGATAGGAGAGGAGAGTGTGTCCCAGCTCCAGCGGATAGAGAGACAGCTTCACCTCTTTCCTCTGTCTTTTGTTCTCTCAGGACTCCCAGCAGATTAGATGGTTCCCACCCACACTGAGGGTGGGTCTTTCCCACCCAGGCCACTCTAATATCTGCTGGAAACACCATCACGGACACACCTAAAAAGATAGCTTCACCAGGTTTCTCAGCATTCCTTCGTCTGACCAAGTTGACACATAGAATTAACCTTCACAGCCACTATCAGGACCCAAAAGGGGAGCGCCTAGGATTTAATGCCAGGAAAAGGGACTGGGTGGGGGGCTGTGAAGGAGCCCACACCTAAACCCAGCAAAGAAGCCAGTGGCTATGGGGCCACTTGGAATGGTGCTGAGGGCTGAGAGAGTCCTTCCCTAGTGAAAGTCCTGGCATGAGCTCCATTTGGGAAACCTCAGCCTCCACTCTATTTTTTTAATGTCGTTTTTATGATTGTCATACATGCTTATTGTTAAATTGGAACATTCAGAAAAGCACAGTGAGAACATTTAAATTACCCATAAAGCCACTTGAAATGTTGATGTATTTTCTTCCAGTTTCTTTCTGTGAATGTGTATGTTGTATGTATTATGGTTTTATAAAATAAGGTCATCCGGCATGAACTGTTGTAAACTGCTTTTTTAATTTAACATTTTATATCCCAAGCAGTTTCTACATCTTTAAATTCATCTTCTCAAAAGGTATTTATATAGTGCATAGTTTTTATTCTGTGGATAAACTCCAGTTTTATGTAGCACATTATTTTGTTAACACTTTTATTTCCTATTTTTTTGGCAGCTGTCTGGTACAGGGATCCAAACCCTTGACCTTGGTGTTAGAACACTGTGCTGTAATCAACTGAGCTAACCGTCCAGCCCTTACATTTTTATTTTGTAACAAATTACTTTAACAAATATTGCTAAAAGCCTTCCCAGAAAGATTTGTCTCCTCTATTAAAACATATATATCAAAAAAACAAAAACAAAATTAAAAAATAAAACACTTACATTTTTAAAGAGAGGACTTAGGGTCTGGAGATTTATTTTTAAATATTTATGAATTAAGTCATCTGATGAGAATAGTCTGAATGGTTGGGGGAAATTGGCCATTAGCTGATAATTGTTAAAGCTGGTGATAGGATGTGGGGGTTCGTTGTATTGCTCTACTTATGAGGCAGTATGAACTTTTCCACAATAAAAAGCTAAACAACAACAACAAAAATGTACTCTCCAGGTGAAGAAATCCCCACTGGTCCAGCTGTCTCTCTGAAGTTGTCTCTTTGGAGATTTCTCAGTTTGTTCCTATAGCCACCACCAGGATGGCCTCTGTTTCACCTGGCTTCCCCCTTTAAGGCTCTGGCACAAGGCAGACAGAATCCCCTTCTCTTGCTGGCCTTTGTGAGGTAGTGACAAGGTGGAGCCTAACAAACCACAGAGCTAAATTCTTTTTTTTTTTTTTTTTTTTTTTTTTTTTTT